AAAAAAAAAAAAAAAAAAAAAAAAAAGTCATTTGCGATATGTATAAACGAATTATTTATTGGTGTGTAGGCGTTCAAACCTTCAATTCTTTGTGGTTTGATAAGTCAAAATTTGTTTTTTTTTCTTTTTTAGTCCATGTACAGCAGGTATATTATGCCCTCACTTTCAGGCTTTTTGTTAAAGTATATGTTCAGCGATTGTTTATTTAGTCTTTCTACTATGGGCTGTTCAGTCTGGTTATTTGTCACTGTATTTCTACCGTTACTGTCCAACGGTGACGTCGGTGATATCCACCATATTCTGTGTCCCCGAGGATGTAACTGTTACACAGAAAAAAATACAGATGCACAATTTTCTTTTCTCCACTTCGTTTGTCGTTGGGAACATGTTAGTTGAAAAAGATGAAGAAAACAATTTTTTTATCTGTTACACCGTAAAAACCCAATATTTATCATTACTATCATCATTTTCTTTCATATTTTTAGGTTTATTTTGGTATATCTACTACTACTTCTACTACTGATATTTTAGAAAGTTTTGTAGCTATTTTAGCGTCACATTTAAAAGCCATAACGCCATTATTTAGTTAAATTCCCAAGCATTAAATGATGTTGCGGAATCTGACCCGATCTATACAATACGAATACAGTGTCCACATGGATCAACATTCAAAACCGATCCACCAGACAAACTGTTCTATCGTCTTAAAAATTTAGAGCATATAACGATTCACAGATGTAAAATTCAAAATCTAAAAAAAGAATTCTTCAAGGTGCGAAATTTAGCTGTTTATTTTCTCCATCATAGAAGTATGTGTAAACTCTACTAGTAGCTGGTATAATTTTAAAAAATTTTGGTTTAGAAATGCCAAATTTTAGAATTTTAAACAAACAACCAAACAAAATACATTCCATTTGTACAGCATTTTCAAAGTTAACCGTTTCATTGAGTGTTTCTAGAAGATTTCAGAAACAACGTCGACTGAATTCGCTAAAAATCACCAGTGCCGATCTGCCACATTTACCGAACGATCTTTTTGAGTATATACCTAAACTTCGATACTTAGATTTATCGGACAATAACCTAAAGATTGTTCCATACCCAATCTCACAATTAAAGTTTGTTTCAGGTTTTCTTCCTTTTTTTTACTAACTTTTTCTAGTATATTCCATTAGTCGTTTTTGCAACTGATGAATAGAAACAAACTTAATTCTAGCACTAACTATTTATTTAAATAACATTACGTTACTTTCAAAACCTTTTCATAAACTGTTTTAAAGGCAGTATTTGAATATTACCTAATTGTGTTAGAACCTGTTCAAAACTAAATGTGCTGTTGGTAAAGTCGAATTTTGTTTATCAAATGGTTTTTCTGCTCACCGAATTGATTTTCAGTGATGGACAACTATAGTTATTATTATTTAATTACAATTTTTTTAAACGGTAATTCAGACTGCATTAGCAGTTTAACATCATTTAGTGACTAGGTTTTTACAGCAATCTAGAGTATCTGATTCTGAGCAGAAATTGGATTCAGTTTATGTCAAGTGGTCTTTCGTCACTGAAACTGCTGAAGCATCTAATTTTGGACGGAAACAATCTAACCAGTATTGACTTTGGCCAAATTCCGCAATCTGTCGACACACTCCGGCTGCGAGCTAATCAGCTAAAGACGTTTATTAATGATGATGTCAGCAACAGGTAGAAGAAGCTTCCAGGTTATCAATGTTGTTTGCATTAAACACCTACACTTTTTTTTATTACATCAAGATGCAGTAATTGTAAAAAATAGTTTACCATTAAAAAGAAAAAAGAAAATGTTTTAATGT